TGTAGAGATTTTCACACTCACACTCTCACCCACCGTCTCTAGATGCAATTACAATAATATCATAACAGTTACACCCCCTTGAGTAGGGGCACGCTGCACCCCCTACGACTCTTTAGAGATCTCCTTGTCGAGCTCAACAAATGAAATTGAGGTTTGATTTAATAGTGCAACCTTAATGATCAACAAAATCAAACTTCTAAGAAAAATTAACATATACATATTTGTAACTTAAGAGCTTTACTAATTGGATGAAAGATGTGCCAGTTACAAAAAAGTATGATCATAATTCAAACTTCTTGCAATTTAAATAGATAAGAGTTTGTGAAAACTTACATGGATAAACATCGTGCTTCTTCTTGATGAGTTGCTTGCAACAAATTAAAGTCTACTTTTGCAAAATTAAGGAGGGTTTCATTGCATATGCTTTCTTTTTCAAATATCGATAAGTAAAGTTTAGCCTTCAACCTATCTCCTCTTCTGACTAATGGTATTTCCAAACTACTTGATACCATCTCTGATAAATAGGGATCCATATTAGAAGCTAAAGTCTTGAGCTGGATTTTTGAAAACTCTAAGGCTTTATCCAGTATTTTTTCACCAGGCATATAAAGATGTGCTGCTTCGTATAAGCTTAGCAAAGCTTTTACATCATTATTTAAGCAAGACATGAATTCTCCTTTTTCATCCAAAAAATTGTTAAACACATCTACAAAAAAAACCAAAATACATGTTTAATATATACAAAAATACCTCTTATATATACCAAAAATATACATTTTGATCAATGTTATGATGGAGAAAGCTTACCACATGAGATGTGATATCTTTGTTGTCTTAGTAGTCGAAAATGGAGTGCAATTATGTATAGATCATCATAGCCAACACTGGTTTCATAAATTTTGAGTAATTTCTCCTCTATTTCCTTTTCAAAATGATAGGCAACTCCAAGGCATTGGATCCTATTAATAAGCTCTAGTGAATGCAATGGATCAGTGGTATCAATGAGCATTTTTCTTACTTCAACTTTCAGCTCATCATTCTTTGATCTGAGCGATGCCTTATTTTTCCCACACAATGATAACAAGCATTAGTTATAAATGAAGATACATATAAATCCAACTGAAGATAGAACTCAGTTACTATTGAAAATATTTTGAATGATACAATAATAAAATAGATTATTATAAAAACAAATTATGACAATAATTTCAATATGTTAATGATGTAATTGAGATTTAAAAATATTTAAAGAATTGCTATAAAGATAAAAATCCATTAAAATCTGAGTTGAAACAATGGATAGAAGTACATAATTGTATTTAACTAAAGTCTGTAAAATTAGACCGAAGACAGGATACATAATAAAACACCAATACATAACAAATTTCTCAGATTTTGTCTTAATTGTCATTATACTATTTTAATATTTTGTTAATTTAAAGCAAGATTGAAGATAGTTAGATGTTAATTCATTAATTTAATACTCTGTAAACTATGTAATACTTTATTTAAAAAAAATTGTAGGATTAATTGAAGGCATTAGTACTACCATATTTATGTCAGGGAGTGGAGGCTTTGAGATAAAGAAATCATCCCAAACACTTGGATGAAAATTTGCTGATTGCCGAGCTTCCTTAGGTGGAGGAGAAAGCAGATCGGATTGAAGAGATTCCATTGTTGGTCGCTTCTATAGCTTAGGCATGCTATTTATAAGCTAAAACAAAGGAGATTGGTATTCTTTTTTAAATACTTCAACGTGACTATCCTGGTTTATTTAAGTCAGTATGGTCATGCGTAGCATGCACTGAAATATAAAATATTATTTTGAGAAATTGAAGGCCATGCGTAGCATGCATTGATATATAAAATTTTATATACGACGAGATCCCAAGAGCGGCCAAATCCTTCCTAATCACATCTCTGACAACACTTAACTCCATTGCTGGTCATTGAAAGAGATGTTAGAACAGGAAGAAAAAGAATAGTGTCATTCTCCAGCAATAACAAAAATTTCTTACCCCCGAGAAACTACAAGGCTTCAATCCCAGAATGGGAAGACCATCCTTGATTTCATCTTCCATACTTATGTATTATCAAAAAATATATATTTAATAATTTAAATTAAATATATAGAAAGTATCATAAGTTTAATTCAGATAACATTTTATATTTAATCTACTAATATTTATATAAATATTTTAGTAATATAACATATATTTTAAATGTTTTATATAAAATATTTTTAAATAATTAATTATAACTTAGATAAAAATTAAATATGTTAAAATTTATACATATTTATTATTATTATTATTATTATTATTATTATTATTATTATTATTATTATTATTATTATTATTATTATTATTATTATTATTATTATTATTATTATTATTATTATTATTATTATTATTATTATTATTATTATTATTATTATTATTATTATTATTATTATTATTATTATTATTATTATTATTATTATTATTATTATTATTATTATTATTATTATTATTATTATTATTATTATTATTATTATTATTATTATTATTATTATTATTATACATATTTATCATTAAGCAAGATGAATATATTTGATTATTAAGTGAATCGGATTTTGGCGCTTCTTTAAAAAATTCTACAACTTCAACGGAGATATTGCGCAAAGAACTACATATGAAGATGACAACAATTAAACCATTGCTGCCATCACTATTGCAACCCAACAAAGCATTTAACCTTGTCATAAGCCACCACATCTCCAACATCACTAAGGCACCTCATGATCTCATAAAGCAAACCCTAAAAATTTTGGAATCCTGAACAATCTTAAGCCAAAGTCGCCACAGACTTCATCTCGCACACCTCCTCCTTTTACACTTATGACATCATCCGTTGAAGCCTACCTCTCCCAACTCACTCTTGACGCCCTTGACGTCCTCAACCTCCCCTCGATCTAAAGTTTTTCGGTTCTTGCCATGAACAATCGCTTGAGAGAGAGAGAGAGAGAGAGAGAGAGAGAGAGAGAGAGAGAGGACACTTACTCGCTAAATAATACCAAAAAAAAAACACCTAACATGATTCTCACAAATAAATGACAATCCTTAATTAGTTTAAGCTCGGGTTGGAGATGGAATTATCATTAACCCAAGTTGTAGTCACCTAAACATGTATGTAAGTTTTCCCAAGCAGAACTACTGTTCGATTTGAAACAAGGAGCTTCTCTTGTGACTGAGCAGTCCACAATTCAATCTAAGAATGCTTTCTTCTTTTTAAGAATCCCCATCCACAAAACATAACAAGAAGGTCAATCTCCTAGAATTTTAGTAATATGTATGTTTAGTTGAGTAAGGATACAAGAAACTTTCAATAAGTTGAAAGGCTTGCAAAGTATATCTTAATAGATTGAAAAGGAAGTCGGCTGATAATTAAATTTTCCACCAAAGTCAATTTCAAAAGATCCAACAATTAATTTTTGAAAGCCGAAAATCAAGAATCAATTGGGTGTCTTTACCTTCATATGAGGGTGAAGTGAGTAGATGATGATTAGGGAGAAGAATGTTGAGATGACATTTTCCATGATCAAACACATTAAATGTTGAGAACAACTAAGCATGACATCAACCAAGTAACCACTAGCAACATGTAGCATCAAAGAATACAACAAAATTATAATTTGAACATGGGAGATGGAATGAAAAAAGAGCTATAGGCATTAGGCATCTAGGAGAGGAATTCAAGTTTAAGGGTAAGAATGGATGTTGGTAGTAAGAGGTGATGGTACCATGAAACCCTTTGGATGGAAAATATCTAATATGCGACAGCCATAAATGACAAGGGAGCTACTAGAGCTGACACAAATGCTAGAACTCCCAAGTAGGGATGACTTAAAAAACGCAACATGCAATGATAATTGAGGCATGGTTGCAACAAAGATTTGCTATGATTGGAGCACGTGAAATAATATATATTACGAATTTTGCACTTAAAGGAAAAGCAACTCAAATTTCCAATTGAATCTAAACTAGTTCAACATGCACTATAGTGATATTATCTTTCACTATTTTATCATAATTTGTATAAGTTCTTGGTTGCCCATATATACCAACTCAATAAAATTTATCAAGGGAAATGAATATTCATCTTAAAAAAACATGAATTTCACATTCAATATTTTCCATTCTTCATGCATTGCTTTCCTATGCTTTTTACATGCTTCTTACCTTATTAAAGCAATTTCAATCCTAACCCTAAAAGTTAACATGTTATAATCAGGATGACTAACATAATCATATTAAAAATAATAATAATAAATAAATAAATAAAGATGACTAACATAACCTTTGAGCTCATAAACATAGCTATGAATCAAGTGTAAGTATGCTTTGGTAAATTGGTTCATCTAAAAGTTATAATGTCATAAAATATTTCTCACTAATTTTTTGGGTTGTTCCTATTCAACATTTATAAGTTGATATATTTTCTTAAAAAGTAAAAAAAAAAAGATATTTATAAAATTTTTAAAAGTGCCTTAAATAATTTTTTTTTCTTAATTAGAATTTCTTGAGCTAAGTTTTTGTTCATGTTCAACTGCTGATCCATTTTTTTATTAGTAAATTATTTAATTTTCCTTTAATATTATTGAAGGAAATGGAAGTCTTCATTCAATTAAAAATAAAGTAATATTTAGCTAAAGCCTCTAAAGTTAAACTAATTATAGGACCCATAAAATAATAAAAACATCATAATTTTATTCTTACCCTATATTTATTTTTTTAATATTTTAATTATTGAATTTAGGGTAGAAGATATTTACAAATTAATTGATACAAATATGTTGTAAATGACAAGTCATATGTTGAAAACCATGTGTATATCACTTGAGCAAGACCACTTTGATGTTTGGTTTCATATTTCCCTTCTTAATTTTCAAGAAATTATTTTGATTTATAAAAAAAAATACTTATATGAGATCTTCAAGATCAGAATACAAAATAGGTGCGGACTCCGGACGTGGTAGAGGATCCGAAGGGCGACGGCGGAAGCAGAAGAAAGGCGGAGGAGGAGAAGAATAAGAATAATGGCGCTAGCTTTCTGGGAAGATGAAACGGAAGCGAATACTCACTATCTCCAATAAGGTCGCGTCTTCCTCCTCCTCCACCTCCTCGTTCTCCTCCTCCGCCGCCGCCGCCGCCACCCCCAAGCTTCGGCAGCACTATGGAGGATTAGTTCTACTCCCTTGAAGACATTGTAGAAGGATTTGAATTGCTTGACTACGTCAAAGCTTTTGCCGTTTTTAGGCTTTTTTTCTATCTTCTCTTTCTTGGGAGATATGTTGGAGGACCGCTCCTGCCTGTTCCCAAAGATATTACCGAACACCTTCGAGCAAGAATCCACTTGGTTCTACATGAGCTCTGAAATTTCTAATAATAAATACAGCCCGATTGGAGGACAGGAAGAGGATGAGGAGGGAAATAGTGGAGATATGGGGAAGAGGAGAAAATCTATGGAGCTTATTGGTGCTTCCAGTAGCAGAGAAATTGAACAAACACCAAATGATAGTAATCGACAAGGAGATGATAGGGATTATTCAGCTGTAGATGATCTTATAAGTCCAATAGGTAGAGATATCACAATCGACTGCCTGCTTCGATGCTCTCGCTCAGATTATGGTTGTATTGCGTCCCTCAACAGGAGCTTTCGATCTCTGATCCGTAGTGGTGAGATTTACAAACGAAGGCTGCAGATGGGTATTGTAGAGCACTGGGTTTATTTCTCTTGCAACGTTCTTGAGTGGGAGGCCTATGATCCTTACCGCAATAGATTGATCAGTCTTCCCAGAATGCCTCCTAATGAATGCTTCATGTGTTGTGATAAGGAGTCCCTTGCAGTAGGTACGGAGCTTCTTGTTTTTGGGAGGGGAGTAACTTCTCACGTTGTACTGAGATATAGCATACTGAATAATTCTTGGTCACCTGGAAAAGAAATGAATTCGCCTAGGTGCTTGTTTGGATCAGCTAGCTCCGGCGAGAAAGCTATTGTAGCTGGTGGTACTGATGCTCGTGGAAATATATTGAGCTCAGCAGAGCTCTATAATTCCGAGCTCCAAACTTGGGAGACTCTTCCTAGCATGAACATACCAAGGAAGATGTGTTCTGGTGTGTTCATGGATGATAAGTTTTATGTGATTGGTGGGGTGGCTAGCAACAAAGAGGTGTTAACATGCGGAGAAGAGTATGATCTTGCTAAAGGAGTTTGGAGGCAAATCCCAAATATGTCTTCTGGTCTGTGTGGAGAGCATGGCGCTCCTCCACTTGTAGCTGTTGTCAACAATAAACTTTATGCAGCAGATTGTGCCTCAAAAGAAGTGAGGGAGTACAATAAGGAGAATAACTCATGGACCACCTTAGGTCAATTGCCTGAGAGAAATGTTCCTGTGAATGGCTGGGGTGTTGCATTCCGAGCGTGTGGCGAGCAGCTTATGGTTATTGGCGGACCAAGGGGACTGGGGGGAGGAATGATTGAGCTCAACTCATGGATTCCAAATGAGAGGCCACCTGCGTGGAATATGATTGCTAGCAAACATTCTGGAAATTTTGTCTATAATTGTGCCGTTATGAGCTGCTGATCTATCTGATCTTAGTCACCTTACTTTATACTCTACTTCTTAGAACGATAGAGGCACAAGATTGGCTTGTTCTTACAGTTTAAAATACTGATTCTACATAATAGGTAATCTCTACCCTTTTTCTTTGATATTTGAAGTGAACTCAAAATTCAATATAATTCTCTCTTCGCATCCTACACTTGTTTTCTTTTATATATCAAACTTGCTCTTTTTCTTCGCCCCTTTGATTTACCATGCATTTCTTCAAATTTGAGAAAGGGAAGAACACAACTTTTGGCAGCATGCTGGACTTTTTTAAGGATAAAACCATTTTGAAGTGGTTTCCTTCTTATGTTATCTGAACCAACTGTACAAACTATTCTGTGATCCATAGACTGGACAGCTTTCCCAGGAAAATTAGTAGCTCAAGTTCATTAAACCTTCATTGCTGGTTATGATGTTTATTTGCAGTCAATAACTGAAGGCATGTTTTATTGCTTCTTTTTCCTTTTTTTTTTCCTGTTAATGGAACCTTGCGCTTTTTGTTTCTGCTTAACTTCACTTTGTTAAGCATGTTCGCTATTTTTTACTGTATTGGTGGTGGAAATGGCATAATAGTCCATTACATTTCAAATATTATGTTTACCTATTTAATATTTACACCCAATCACTTCCAGTGTTTGAATGGGCAAATTATTGCATCCGGTCACCTGACATGCGGACATCCAATCCGGACACGCCACCTCACCGGATGCACTGGGCCCCGATATTTTTGAGTGACGTGTGCGTTTTTATTGGTGTCCGGACGAATCCGGACACCGGATACAATAATTTGCCGTTTGAATGTTTGTTATGCGCTTGACACATAACTTCTTTAAATTCCGTTTTATTAAATTTCTTTTTTTAATTGTTTCATCAGCTTGCAACCTAGGTTTCTACTTTATAGAAATGAGAAGAAGAGGGCGAACAGGGAAAATTTATTAACAAAAAAGAATGAGTTAGCTACACTAGTCAACGAGATTTATTTTTCTTAATATTAACCATTTGATTTCTAAATTAAATAACGTTCCAAGAAGATCATATGCACCTTGCCTTGGTTATTATCATTTTGAACATGCATATAGTTTTGATGAACTTCTTGTATCATAATTGGTAACCACTTATTGTCCATATCAAAAAAATAAATATGATCTTCTCAACTAGTAGAGAGACACCGTTTTCTCTTGCTATTAGTTGTGAAGCAATGATACTTGTCAAGATCTACCAACCTATAGCTCATATTTGGGTAACTGTTTCCACCATTAGATTAGGTACCTAAGTGGATCTAGAGTAATTAGGATGTGCCGAAGTCAACCAAAATCTATTAGAAGAAACCAAACGTGCAATTCTTCCCCAATTTAAAACACAGCAAGGCCGAGTCACTTAAATGGTCTATGGCAAGTGCAGGGTCTGAGAGTTCAATGCTCAGGATTTCGTCCTTAGAAAGATGGAGGTCATAAGGAAGCACTCTGGCTTATGAAAAGTTCTCAGCCAGTTGAAAAGACCCATGCATCAGAAGGGGTTTCCATAAGCTATACTAGCGAAGGGGAGCATCCTGAGAACTTGGCACTCTAATGTTTTACAATTATAAAATTATTTTATCCTTAGAAGGAATTATTAACTTGTTATATGTAGAAGCATAATCTGCTCAAGAAGTTGGATCCTCATCCCTTCCTATCCAAGAGCCAAGGCCAGAGGACTAGTTAATAGCGAGATGAATCTTTGTCATTTTTCTTAAGTATTCATAAATGACTTTGCTTGTAAGACTTGATGAAAGACATTCCTAGTGATTTAGTCTCTGTGCTTCTTTTTCAAGTCACATATTGGATACTCCTGAACTTATGCAAGCATAAATTCTTTTCTAGAAATCTATTGCCAAAATGCTTCTATATAAAATCCAACATAATGACTATTTTCAGCTTTGACTGTAAAAAAATCTTACGGCTACTCCGCCTCGCTGGTAAAAGCATCGTCCTCCTTTTATTCTCCAATTTTTTTATTCTGTGATAACCAATTATCTTAAAAACTAATGTAACTTTTTTTTTTTTTAACTATGTCAAGACCTTAGTTCTTTCATGTTTTTGTCTGGATGTCTAATCAAGTGCTAATAAGGCCTAGTATACTTCTACCTACATAGAGAAAACTATCACCGACAATCAAGACAATATATTTATGTCGAAAAGGCTGCGAGCTCTTACACTATCGCTTGGGCCCATGCACAAACATAATGTGAAACCCCTTAAGCAAAAGAAGCTAAACTCTTAAACATCGAGATTCCTTTTGATGTAATGGTTGGAATTTCATTAAGAAATACTGTAGTTAAGCGAGCTCATCCCAGAGGAATTCTTAGATGGCTGACCTACTGGGAAGTTGCCCCAACAAGACAATACTGTGAGGATCTTAGGGCAAAGTGGACAATATCTCAATAGTTAAGAGTTTGAGCCTTTACAAATGGTATCAGAGCAATACACAAGTTAGAACATAGGAACCAAGTGCCATACAAGACAAAGTGCTATGCCATGAGAGCCATCTCTTGAATCCTGTATGAGACAAAGTGGTACGTGATGGGAGCCACCACTTGAATTTGTAGGGGCCACCTCGATAATTATATCTGCATGGTGGATGATTATGAGATAATGATATTAATGAGGATGTCAATTACTTAAGTGAGTGAGATTGTGAAACCCCTTAAGCAAAAGAAGCTAAACTCTTAAACATCGAGGCGCCTTTTGATGTAATGGTTGGAATTTTATTAAGAAACCCCGTAGTTATGCATGCTCATCCCAGAGCAATTCTAAGATGGGTGGCATACTGGGAAGTTTCACAAACATGATAAAATCGTGAGGCTCTAAGGTCAAAGCGGACAATATCTCGATTGTTAAGAGTTTGGGCTATTATACATAATCTCCTTAGTCTAATTGATTAAGGCTATAATTACCCTTTTGTTAGCATCCCTTGAGGCATAACACATGCGGGGTTATTTCTTCATTAATAAAAACACTAGTTGTGCCCTTTTATTAGAATCCCACAAGAATAACACTGGAAATAGTCAAATCCCTCAAACATCTCCATTTGATGAGCTTTATGCTTCTCCCGTACATGAGTAAGGATCCTCATCATTGCCTTGTTGTAACTCTTTAAGTGATCTTGAAGTGCTCTCGATCATGCTATTGACTTTGTAGTGTAGCCTTCAACCCCAGAGTCACCATTCCAAAGACATCACCCCAAGAAGTTGATTCTTAGTGTCGTAGTTCAGATTCTTGTTGTTGTTATGGCTTAACTCATCGCAAACTTTCTTGTACTAGATTATTTCTTAAGTATACAACCCAAATTAGCTTTTATCAGAAGCAGGCACAGAAATATCCTAAGGGGCTTTATTATTGGTGAAACCACATCCTTTGCGGAACTTTAAGATGCATTCCATTAAAACACTAAACAAACGTGTTAGTTTGCAAATTTAGCAAAACTGCAAAACTATTTCTTAAGCAATAAGAAGCATCTAGATCATAAACACTCGTATGCTTAATAGAGGTGGTCGTGACCTTGATTGTAAGAGCTCATCCACTTTGCCCATGTATAGTCAATTTGTTGAACAAATGTGGCATTAGTATTAGGACAACTTTCTTTTTCCTTATCTGATGTGTGTTTATCACTTCCAAAGCTAGGAAAAATAGTTAAATTATCATATTCACAAAGCTTCCTTATAATTTACTCCTTTTTCAAGAAAGATGGTTAGGACCCGGGGATGCTAAGTCGACAAACTACCTATTATCTCTATTAGAGGTTCTCCTCCTCAAGAATCTTTGAAGCCTCTTCTCAACACTATTCAAGACCCAATATGTTCCTTGACCACCCTTAGAGGATCTCCATTTTTTTTGGTCTTGTCCTAAAGGTTGCCTTTCTTTTACAAGAAAGAAGTAGGTTCATTGGTCAGAGACATGAGGATGATGCCCTCCATCTGCCCACACGATATGCGTTCGTGGTAGGCCCCTTAATTTTTTTTTTGCTCGCTTATTCCTCTAAACTTTAGTGATTCTAATACCCTAAATAAAAATAGAGAATTTTGTTTTTATCATTGTATTAGTGAAATCGAAGTTAGAGAGGCTTTAAAGAAAAATGAAATGTGAAAAAATGGTTGGACAAGATGATATTCTAATAGAGGTGTGAAAATGCTTAGGAGATGAAAGAATTTCTTAGATTACAAAACTTTTTAATGTTATTTTGAAGATTAAAAAGATGTCATGTGAGTGGAGAAGTGTGTTGATTCTTAGTTTTAAGAATAAAGATGATGCACAAGAGTATGTGAATTATAGAGGATGTGGTCGATGTAGCATATGAAAAACAAGAAGCTCTTGGTCTCAGCTGAGTGAAACAGTCCCTATCCCGCTAATTCCGAATGCAGTTTCTCGTACCTTAGGTCAACTAACCACACCTCAAGACCATGGGAGATGTCTCAGGAAAATCCATTCTCTTATTGATGTTGGGTTTATAGAATCATTATTGTAAGGATAACAATTTGATTGGTGTCCTCTTAGGGTGGTGGTGAAACGAGTATTTAGTGTTTGGTGCTGAACATTTTATGCTACCAAAGGCTAAATTGTCCTTCCTTTAAGGAAAATGGGGGAGGGACTCAGATTAAAAGCTTGAGATGTTATAGAATTAATGGTAATGTTTTTATGAATTATGGATTAGTTGTTGATGTGCTATAATATTTTTATTTTGGTGGCTTATAGTAGAAAATTGGATTTATAGGTTAGGCTTTTGGCTAGGGTATTTTAACATTATTGAGTTGAGCTCTTGGGAGTTATGAGGGATGTGATGGAATATTTGGAAGAATTTTGAAATGGTTATAAGTGTTTTGGGTTTGAGGGAAGCTAGGCTTGATTTATATAGAAGATATAAGAATTATGTTTAGAAAGTCATGATATGAGAAAAAAACACGCTAAACATTCATACTTGTTATGTTTTGATGATTATATGAGCATGGTGATCATTGATAAATCTAATTATGACGAATTGTGATGAATGTTGTTTTGATCCTATATTGATATCATTGATGAACCAAATTATTTGGATGTGTTTTTTAGTCATGATAATAAATATCTAAGTTTTTTAAATCTTGCAATATACAATTGTTGTAACATATGTGATGCAAGTGGGAAACTGTTAGGAATTTTCTAATGTGGGCCTATATATTAATAGTAAGTGTACATTGTATTAGGGGATCTAATTTCTACATATTAAAAGTAATCAACTAAGTTAATAGAATATTGGATTTTTTTAGACGTTTAAGTTGTATGGGTTTTGCAATATGTAGAAATTATATGTTTTATTTTATTATTTATGATTGACCAATAAATAATATTAAATAAAGTACACCACATATAAATTGGGCTTTAGTCCTCACTCTAAATAAACATTTTTGGTTTGCTCACATCCCATCTCTAGGTAAAATAGAGATTTCTCTTTGCAATTTGTAGTTTTAGATGTGGAACAGTGATAACACCTCCTTTCTTTCTCAATAGATTTGGATGTCTTCCCAAAAAATTTCTTAATGATTTAGCATATGATTTTGCTCTGGTGATTAGAGAATTTATTACCTATTAACTTTTTTAACGTAAACATTTTTAAGTCAGCCTCAAATGTTTCACTTACATGAAATGCACTTCTAGTTCAATCCCCTACTAAAGAAAGAAAGTGGTAAAAGGGAAAACGCTGAGTAATAAATGAAACCGAGTTCTTCCACTTCTAATCTAATTTACTTCAGTATTAATAGCATAGAGTACATATGCAGGTTAACCATTGATCTAACATTTAACCATTAAATGTATTATTCGCATGAGAGTATATTTTTATCATCAGAACTTTTCTACTAGAGATGGAAGGGACGTGATGTTGGGGCCCATCTTTGAGATATTTTCCTGAAATTTTGTTTTGTTTTTTAATTATAGTTAGGCTTTCTTTGAATTTTTTTTTTTCTATGGTACTAATGTTTCTCCACCTCATATAGTGGGATGAAGGCTTGATGTTATTGTTGTACTAATGTTTCTTCAAATTAGGTTGGATTCATGTCGGGTAGGTCAATTATGAAAACTATATGTTTGCTGAGTGGTTTGATGGAGAAGTGTAGAGAGAGTAAGGAGGATCTACATATGATATTTATTGATATAGAAAGCATATGATAATTTTCAAGAGAAGTGCTCTAGAGAGTTCTAGAAAAGGAAGGAGATAATAATGCTTATGTTCAAGTTATTATATATATATAATTGTTACTTGTATTCAAACACCGGGTGATTTAACCAAGTATTTTTCTATTTTAGTTTGATTATATCTAGGATCAACATTAAAGCCTATATCTTTTTGGCTTTAGTCATATTGATGTTATTACTAGATGTGTGCAAAAGGATGCATGTTGGTGTATGCTTTTTTCTGATGATATTCTTTTTATTGATAAGACTAGAGAGGGAGTTGATCAAAAACTTGAATTATAAAGGCCAACCTTACATGAATACATCTAAAATCAAATATATGAAAGTATAATTTTAGTAATAATAGATCTAGTTGTGAGATTGTGACATTGGACGATCAAATTATTAAAAAGAATGCATGTTCTAGATATCTCAGGTCTATTGTTCAAATCGATGGTCAAATACATGAGGATATTATTAATAGAATTCAAGTTGGATGGTTGAAGTGGAGGAATGCATTGAGCCTATTGTGTGATAGAATGTACCCCTCAAACTTAAGGGAAAATTTCATAAGATGGTGGTGAGATCTGCAATGCTTTATAGGACAGAAT